GCATGTTTATTTTAGATCTGTGTGGCAGCAGCAATATACATGAAATAAATCAATAAATCCACTGCTGTCTTGTCTCCTCTGAGGCCGGGACTGTACATAGTGTTTTGTGCTTGTCTGTGCAGTCAATGACAGAACAGTTAGCATGTTTTGCTCAAACTTTCGCCATGACATTAGAATTAGTACACCATTGTCGCTTGCCAAATCACAAAAACTGCGCCATGGGTGGAAACTTACAGATAAAGGGGCGGTAATATTATAATGAGATCCCTTTGCCACGTCACCAAGGGAGCGAAATCAGACGTGCTCGTTTTCTCAGACAGAAAAAGGCTTACCAAAACAAAGTTACTGGGTTAATCTTTTTCATGTTTCCTTGGTTGGTAGATGCACCGGGGACCTGATTATAGCACTTAAAACCTGGAAAAGTCAGATTTTCATGATATGTCAACTTTAACAATAATAATAATGTCTACAACATTTTTATTTAAATGATTTTCATGACGACTTCCCACAACTTTCTATAAAAAAAGAAAGTAAAAAAAACACAACAAATTCATATTTATGCTCCCAAAGCCACATACTGTAGAGTACACTCAACCATATCAAAACATAAAGTCCTCACCACATCACCCCAGATGACAACACACACACATCAACAACCACAATCAAACAAACGGCCCCAGCACGCACACGTTTAGCATTTACACACTGAGAATGAATACAGAGAGATATTTCAGCTGTCAGTTTATCCTCAGAGAGGATAATGGAATATGGCACCACAAGGCATTGTGTTCATATCCGACACCACTCAGCACAGGTTTACATGCATCTGCTCCATACTAGCTAGTCATTATGTGACTCTGGGCTGACATGGATTCGAATGTGTTGTTGAATGTGTTATGAAGAACATAAAGGATGAAAATTGCATGTTTAGTGCCCCAGAGGCTTTCTGTCGTACCCTGTTTAGTTGGACATTGAATATCGTCTTAGATTCTTACTTGTTGGTGGCTTCACGGATGACTAATCTGATTTCTCAATTGCTTTAGGAACCCAAATAAGGGCAACAGGGGTTAGCTGTCACACGGGGAAGTTGTCACAAGAGCTATAAGTAAAAATGTAATTATTCAAATGCTTTTTATGCAAATGTTGGTTTCAAACATGTCTATTTAAAACTGAATAATAAGCTACAAAAATCTATTTTTTGCTATAGTTGTTGGTTAAACAAGTGAACACAGTAAGAGGTCAACTGTATAATGAATGTAAATTGAAAGAGTTATTTAAATTAATGTCAGATTAGGCCAAGACAGAATTTTAATTGGGGCAAGTTGTCACACATGTTTTTAAGCCTATGGGACTCATTTAAATAGAAAGTTCTTATTGTGACAACTTACCCCATATAGTGTGACAACTGCCATGGGTCATGATGTCATAAAAGGTCTGCATGTTCTTTTTTTCCCCCGATTAACAGTGGTGAAAATATCCAATACCTTTCTTCC